CTCCTCTTCTTCCTCCTCCTCCTGCTACTACGACGACAATCGTATGCATAGATACCCGGCCAACATTTCTCACCTTAGCGCTGTTCCCGCCTCTTGCCGGATAAGGCGGTGACGGCCGGAATTTCGAGCTCGATCCGCTGCCCACCCCTCCAGCGACCGCCGGTTGCTGCCTCGTCGGCGCATCACCGGCACAAAAACCGTCCGCCCCCCCGCCCCCCGCCGCGGGATCCCCCTCTCTCGGCACCCTCGAGAACGAGCGCGCCTGCAGGAGCGCGGTATTCTGCCGCACGACGGACGCGTGCTTCACCAGGGACGCCTCCCGCCCCAACCGCCGCTGCTCCTGGTTGCTCGTGCCGCCTACCCCGGCCGTGCCCGCCGCCGCCGCAGTCACCGGCCCCTCCGCGGCCTCGGGCGTCGGCAACAGAAATCTCGTCGACTTCTTCTGCTTCTTCTTGTGGTCGGGGTGGTTGGAGCCAGAGAAAAAGGACGAGGGCTGGCCGCATTGGCCGTTCCCGTCACCCCCGCCGTCGCCGTTCTGGGGGGAGGGCGAGGAGGACAAGGGGCCGAAGGAGCGATGCGAGCGGTGGCCGCCGCCGCCGCCGCCGCCGCCGCCGGTGCTGCCGAAGATGTTAGTGGACCGCTGGTAGTGCAGCTTGCCCCGGATGTGGTCCCTGATGGCAAGCAGGAAGGGGGGTTGGAATTAAGTGCACACCCTTTTGTTTGAGACCGCGAAACGACCTTGCTCTTGCGACGGGTACAAGGGGGTTGGAATAAGCGCACACATCCGCATACATTTTCTGGCGCGTGAAGGCATTGCGACGGGTGTGCGCAAACATCTACTGTAGACGGGCCAGCGGAGTGCTTGTGGCCGGTCAAGGGCTAGATTCTCTGTAGGTTCGCAGCAGCAGTGCCGCGTCACTGATGATGATGGCGGCTTGTCCGCCTCTTAAAAACCTTCAAAACCACAAGTAGGCCGCCCCCGCCTTGCCCAGCGTACAGCAACACGCAAGACAACACACCCACAAGAGATGCATACGTCTACAGCACCACCGCCCCCCACCACAGAAGACTACACCCGCCCAAAGCGTCAAAACACACTCTCAAATAAAAAAAAAAAGAAGGGCTGCGAAGATACCACCACCCTCAAACAGAACACACACACACCCGGTGATAAATATTGTAAAAGAAGAAAAAAAAATGCGATCACAGGGGCGTGTTACCTTGCGTGGTATACGCAGCATAC